TATTGTAAATGTATGTATATAAATTGAATTACTAATATTGTGTTCATATTATGCGTATATATATATATATGTCCATACTTGCAAGAAAGCCTCTTGGACCCAAAACCAAACAGGAAACAGTTTTAGCTCAGTTTTTTGCCATTTCAGTGTACTCTACTTTAACATACCTATCAGCTCGCCACTTTGGTCAGTGCAATCTAAACACCTTTCTTTATTGTCCATTCTGCATTAAACTTCACAAGACAAAGATTCAGAGAAAATTTGGTCAAAAGATCCTTAAGAGTATGATGAAGACATCTTGTGAATGTTTATTTTCATTTAGCTTTTGGCATATTTGTAAGGCTCAACATGCATGGGAACTCCCTCTCCTACAAAATTTCAACAAATTAACCTTGGTGGAATGTTTCAAGAATGAAACTCGGTACGTATATGCATCATGGCCAGACTTGCAATAAAAGCAGCTTGGACCCATACCCTACTTTGAACAGGAAGTTGGCGATTTTGATTTTGATATACATTTTTTTGCTTGGATTTTGGGGATTTCATAGCCTAAACTGGACTTAACCATTTTGAATTTTTCTTAACAAAAAAGTAATGAACACTATGAACTACTACTTGAAACAGGAAGCTCTTCCAACTTTACTATATATTGTCCAGTCTACACAAAACTTAACACGTTTGATGGCCTGTCATAACCCTATTTACATGCCAAAATACAACATAATCATAGCAACACCTACTAGCAACAGGATGCATGCATCAACAGGATGTGAAATCTTAACTCCTTCATGCACTGTGCAACACACAATGCAGTACAAACCCATTTCAACCAACCACCAGCAACTACACCACATCCGCAAATATATTTAATTTCCAACTTGACCACATGTTATTGGATCTACCCACTCTATATCCAAAAAAACATGTTTGCAAATTCTGTTCAGTAAACCAAATAAAGTTGTGTTTAGTCTGTCTGAATATACTAGTGAAATAGAGGAAATAAACTCACGCCTAACTTCTTGGCGTCTCCTAACGACATAATTGCAGAAATGAACCAGAGAGAAAATCTGTAAAACAATGAGCTCTGAATTACTGGAGAGTGGAAAATGTTTTTGTGCAGAATGTCTGATCATAACAATGAGCACTGTGTATAGGGATGTGAAATATTTGCAGAATGAGCTGTGAGAGCTGAGTGCGGTTTATTGTAAGTGAACTTGTGCGATGCTGGTCACCCACCCCCACACATTGATTTTTGCGGTTTTGTAATTGCACAGGCAAATGTGTGGACATGTCTAAGTAGAGAACCTCCTGCTAAGTTACACGTGTCCACCAACCTCCTGCGAAATTCCGCTACCAATTCTCTGGACAATCAGTGGTGTCCTCATGTCTGAAAAAGGCTTACATGAGAGACAGGTGGGTGGGAAGTAGGGCTACAACTAACAACAATATTGATAATCCATGAAGTTTTGGCAATTTCTTCGATTAATCGACAAAAAATACTAAAGCCACCTTTTATCTTTCCCAGCTCTTTATTAGAAAAGCATATT